GAGAATTGATGCCTTTGAGCTGTGGTGCTGGAGAAGAGTATTGCATGTACCATGGACTGCCAAGAAAACAAACAGATTCATCCTAGAGAGGGTTAAACCAAGCTATTCCTTGGAGGCAAGGATTCTGGGGCTTCGTCTGACATACTTTGGATATGTTGTAAGGAGGGACAGGTCCTTGGAGAGGGACATCGTGCTTGGGAGGGTGGAGGGAAGACCCTCTATGAGATGGATTGATTCAGTGACTGGGGTAATTGGGATGGGGGTGTCAGAGGCAGTGTGATTGGCACAGGTTAGAGCAAGGTTTAGGGCTGTTATACATAGGGTCGCTATGAGTCGCAAATGACTCGACAGCACATAACAACAACAACAACAGGAAGTACAGTAATGATTTGTGTGCAAAGATTTGAAATTTTAACAGAAAAAGTACCATTCCTGAAATTCAAGAAAATATTTTTATTACTTTAAAAAAAAGAGTGTTGATTGTTGATTTGAGCAAGCTGAAATTGTTAACCATCTCAAGCTCTTCCTCCATCTAACATGGTGCTAATTGGCCCAGTGGTGAGAATCTTTGTTATTTTTATTTTGAGCAGCAAACCATATTAAAGACTGCAATCCTTGACCTTCTTTCTGCAGCAAATACCTCAGGTCCTCCACAGTTTCAGCAAGCAAGGTTCTATCATCTGCATAACACAGGTTTTTATGAGTCTTCCTCCAATACTAATGCCACATTCCTTCTCATAAAGTCCTGCCTCTCGATTGATCTTGTTTGCATATAGATTGTAAAGGTATGGAGATAGGATGCATCCCTGGCATACATCTGATTTTGAACCATGCAGTGTTTCCTTCCTTTTTTTTTTTGACAACTGCCCCTTGGTCCAAGTAGAGGTTTCACGTGAACACAATTTGATGCTCTGAGATTCTCATTTCTCTCAAGATTAGCCACAATTTGTTGTGGTCCACACTATCAAATGCCTTTGCACAGTCAATGAAACACAGATAGACATTCCTCTGGTACTCTCTGCTTTCAGCCAAGATCCTCTTCTAAACCCATCCTGCACTCTAGCAGCTCTCTGTTGATGTTCTGTTTCAGTTGATTTTTTATAATCTTCTGCAGGATTGATTGTATATGGTATTAGTGACATTGTTTGATAACTTCCACACTTTTTTGGGATCTTTTTTTTCTTGGAATGGGAAGAAATATGGATTTTTTAGAGTCAGATCAGTGTGGTCCTCTAGATTTCTTGAAAGCCCGATGAGCATATCTAAGACTGCATCTGTTTGTTGAAATATGTCAATTGTTATACCACCAATTTCTGGGGCCTTGTTTTTTGCCAATTCTCTCAGAGTAGCTTGCACTTCCTCTTTCATTACCATTGCCTTTTGATCACATGTTTTTCATGAATTTCTTCTGTGTCAGCCAAATCTTTTTGGTACAGTGACTCTGTACCCCTTTCATACATATATATATGAAATATATCTATATTATATATAAACTTATATATAATATATATCAATATATATATAAAGATATAATATATAAATTATATATATATACATATATATGTAATTTCAGTTTTTCTCAATTTTCTATCTAAGTGTGGACATGAAACTAATTTTGAGTAAATGGCAAGTGAGCATTGTGAGATTATCTCTATCTCTCTATATATCTATCTTCGAGATACTTTACAATTTATAGACAAACATCTTCCCTTGAATTTTGTCTTTTCTCCTCTGTCTCAACTCAACTCACTGTCTTTGCATTGGAAATAGCTCTTGGCCAAATTTCTTTTGGATTTGAGAGGGTGCAAATTGCATGGCAGGAGGTTGCTTATTGTTCTCCTGGGAAGCTTCTGATGGATTTGCACTTCCAGAGAGGAGTGGTCCTTGATTTAACAGTGCAACTAGGCCACCAGATAAAACTCCCCTCTACTTATAGGCTGTAATACAAATGTAGTGGCAATGAAGACTCAGCAGTGTGTTGTGTAAATCTGAGCTGACTCTGCTGTGGATTGTCAGAGGTAGTAAATTATATAGGAGGAGATTGTCCTTATTTTTACCATGAGAAGCTGGTAGATTTGAACTGCATAACTTTGCATTGGCAGTGCAATTCCTTATGTTGAGCCATCAGAGCTCCTGGTGTAGATGAGAATAACTGCAGACATAGTGGAAAAGCAATGGGAAGGATTTATGTTCCTAATCTCCATAAACCCTTCCAGTTCATACTGGACATTTTATTCTGTAAAAGGTAACTTTGTTTTATCCAAGACACTTTTTGTGGAGACTCTTTGTTATAGCAGTTTAATCTTTTATTGCAGTTCATACATACGTTATATTGAGTTCATGTGACAACTTTATTAAGAAAATCCAGTTTACTCTGTAAACTTGCACTCATCACAATGCAAGGTTAAAATTGATTGTATGAA